TGCTTTCAGGACCTGATGAACGAGAACTCCTCTGCCAGCATGGACTACAGGAGGAATCTGACACCTGGGGTCAAGACTTGCAAGACTGATCAATCTTTATTCTGAAGTCCATTTGTTACATCATCTTAGGTCCTGTACTAACTAATGTACTGCGTAAATCCTTGGGGGCTGATTTACAATAAATTCTTATGTATCCAGAATAATTGTATAATCACATATTTTGTGCACTGGAAAATTCCACATAGGGAGAATTATTAATTTGCACTAAAACGATATAAAATTTTATTGAAATAAATTTTACCTTCAGTGATTTGCAGAACCCTTCTGGGTCTTACAGAGTCTCAAGATTATTGTTATGAATACTAAGTACAGTAAATGTGTACAAATGTTAGGGTTTGAGTAAATATATAATATACTTACAACAAACACCTGAAATTACATTTTCAAAATAAATTCCTAACACATTCTAGTTTTATTACAATTTACCTCCATTATGAAAGAAGACTATAGGATACTAAGTTGCATTTTCAAAATAAATTCCTAACACATTCTAGTTTTATTACAATTTACCTCCATTATGAAAGAAGACTATGGGATACTAAAAAGAACTTTTGTGGACTTTCTCATTGTTTGAAAACTGCATGTGGGTGCTTATTATACCATTTTGAAACAATATAAGAAATAAAATGTCACTTCTTAAACTTTTTTAATGACTGAATCTACCAAGATTTAACATATTTTATGGATGAGCCAGTTACAAAATCATTAAGAAATCACATGTTCAAAAGTGTAGATTTTATGTTTACCTGCCCCGATGACTCTCTCAATGCGAATTCTTGAGGGATCAATCTCCTTTGCAAATTCATGGACTGCTAGGGATGGGTCTTCATATGTATCTGGATCGATGTAAGTTTTAATTCCTGGGAAACGTACTGCAACAACAACAAAAAAGATTGAGTTAGTTTAAGAGTATTTAAGTAATCATCCATCTGGTGACCACTTAAAATAGGGAGTGACATTCAAGTCAGACTTGCTAGCTGTGTAACTTTTCTCTTTTTTTCCCTGCCTCAGCTCTTATTCATCACTCTCATTGTTTTGTTTTGTTTTGTTTTGTTTAATCTTTTTTTTTTTTTGAAGAGGTTTTTGTTATAGGGCGCGTGCACTCGCCAGAGAGACAGAGAGAGACAGAGAGATAGAAAGTGAGAGATCACCCCCTGGGGGGGTGGCCATGCTGCAGTCCCTTCTCCTCCATTCTCCTCTTGGGATCTTGGGTACACATGCACACACGCCTGGCATGAGTTTAAGCCACCGGGTCCGGGACTCAAACCGCAGTCGGCTACATGGGAGTCCAGCGACATAGCCATTACGCTAACTGCTGGTCCCTTTACCTCACTGTTAAAGTAAAATAACCTGGTGATTTCATAGACAGTGAACTCACAGGTCTCAGAAGACACTTTCTTTTATTTTTGTAGAAGGTTTAATTGGCTCAGTCATATACTAAAAGACCCATACATTTCACATCTGCCCTAACTCAAGAGAATGGGGAAATGAGGCATAAGTCCCACCCCACCTCCCAAATGAGCAAGTTCCAGAGTTCATCCTGGACCCTTCGTACTCTAAGGCAATAGAATTTCTTGAACTCATATCCTAGTCCTGGGCAGTGAAGAACAGACCACATGGACAGTGACAGATACTGGCCCTTTTCGGTTCTCGGAATTGCTTCTAGGGTTAGACCTCGCATAGTGCTGGACAAGACTGGCTTGCTTATCTTGCTGGTAAAGATAGGAATCCAGGGACCAACTCTGCTCGTTGGTGTGTAGCTGTGGCCCTTTCCTGGTGAAGACAGAGTGCACGCAGCCCACACGCAGTGAGGATGATGTGTAGGGATGCCTGGAAAAATGAATGTGTGGTCACGTGTTCACCTGTGAATACAGTCTGCTGTGAATAGCCCTCTTTTTGCTCATAGATTTTGGTTTTCCACTTTAGATTGATAGTTCCTAGAGGAGAGGAGATTATTTGTTATATATGTTTGCATCTTTTAAAACAACTTAGGTAGGGTTCTACAGGTACTGTAATAAGCATACATGAAGCTTCCGTGAAATACAAATTAATAGGGATGAGAGCAGTGCTAACAGTGTGGCCGACGAGATGATACTTGGTTTTCTTACTTCTTAGATTTTAAAGCCACCCTGTAACCAGAGTGAAGTGCTGTTTGGGTCTCCTTAGAAATATGTTCTTAAGGAAAAAATCTCAAAAGCAAACAAACAAAAGGTAATTAAGAGAGTTTAAAGGATGTGATGAAATGCTCATTATTAGCAATAATTGGCTTGATTAGTTCTTCTATGCTTATGGCCTTCAGTTCTGCCGACTGTCTGAGTGCTGGATGTGCACCCATGAGAAAATGAGTATTTCTCAAAATAGCACCAGAAAAGTATATTTTCAGGCATATTTAGACACTCACTCTGTAATGCTATGCTTTTCTTGACTTCTCAAAGTTTAGGTTGGAGGAAAGGAGAACAGATAGTCCGTTCCTCTAGTTCATATTCCGCATGGTATTTTTATAACTTAGTAGGCGTTATGACTTCAGATTGAGTTTAATAGACTCACAACTTGTTACTACTATTAGAAAATTAGTGGCATCTAGTTGGATATATAGTCATGTTGATTCCTACTTTAGGCACATAGATAATAAGATTATTTATTTGTTTATTTAGGTTTTTGCAATAGGGTGTGTTTGCTTGCTGGAAAGAGATAGAGAAACGGAAAGTGAAAAATCAGCTCCTTAGCGTATAGCTACACCGCAATCCCTTCTCCTTCATTCTCCTCTTGAGATTTTGGACACACATGCACAGGTACATGGCATGACTTTCGAGCTGCTTGAACTCGAACCATGGTTGACCATATAAGATCCAACCATCTTAGCCACCATGTCATTTGTGGTCTCTTTATACATGGTTTTAACAACTAAATCATTCCATTATTTACGATATACACATTTCTACAGCATAAATTTATTATTTAATATCTTTTTTTCCTTGTAAACGAAATATGTGTGGTAAAGGAAAAACAAAAAACAAAAAACAAAAAAAACCACGAAGACCAAACCCCAAGCCTAGTTCCAACTTGGAATGTCTGGGTACTAATTTAACTTATCCTTGTCTCCGTAAACATCAGTTTGCTATTGTTCTTCTGGCTCCTTGGCAGCCTCGGATTACTTTCACTATATCTTGCTGGGCCCATCTGGCTTAGTTTATGCTAAACTGCTACTTGGAAACAGATAATAAATACCTCAGGAGCACCTTTTCCCTCTGCATCTCAGTACTAAATGCCCTGCAGTGAATCTTAAGGTTGCCCAGCATAAGTAATCTGTCCAAGAGCCTGGATTCAGGCTTCTGCGTCTATTCACAGTGTTTCTAGGTCATCCCATGCTATATGTGTATTCTCTTAGTTCTGCCAGTTCGGTGAGACTCAAGTTTTACAGAAGAACGACCTGGGAGAGTTTGCTAAAAATACTTGTGTCTTGGCCCTACCCTGGATCTTCTGTGGCAGAACCTGGGGAGAGAGTGGAAAAATCAAGGGCAGATGGTCCTTAGACCGCTCTTTAAGAAACCATATGAGTGAGCCTTAGAAAACAGCACTGAGCCACTCTACTCGTGTGTCATTTTTCTTGCTCCAACACTTTTCCTCTTCTGAAGGGCAATAAAGATTGAAAGTCCTTTCTTCCTTTTGCTCAGTTTGAAATAAAAATAAATTTAAAAGGTTAAACAAGCTACTTCATATATTATCTCCATATTGTGGCTAATTAAAGGACATCCTTTTCTTGTTGATCCAGTGCCGTATGGTAAAACAAAACAAAACAAAACAAAACAAAACAAACAAACAAAAAAACTGTCTTGACAAAGCAGTTTGAAACTTGGAGATGGAAATGGAGATGGGCATTGGGGAGGAGAGGGTGGCAATTATTAAACCAACGATAGTGGTAATTAATTATAGCTTGTTTGGGAAGAGATCCTTCAAATGAACATAACCTTATAGTCAACTCAAGGATTTCAAACATATTCTAAGAGTTAAAGAGCTGTGTTTTTTTTGTTTTTTTTTTGTTTTTTTTTTTTAGTATTCATGAACTGTAAATTGACTTGTTATGTGTTTAAATGACATTCCCTACAAGAAGGGATAAGGATTCCTTAATATTTCTATGACCGATGTTTCAGTAAATAAAACCAATCCATGTTCTGGAGCCATTGTGAATAGTAAATAACTAGCCATAGTGAGTCAGCTTGTATTTGTAGCAAATTCAGTCTGTTGTGCTTTCCAGAAAACAAAATTGGGGAAAGGTAATATCATGTAATGAGAAGCAGGTGCACTTTCTACCAACAAACCTGGAAACCAGATGGAAAGTCTTAATGCTGCAAGGTTGAAAGTAAGTTTTCTTCTTTTGCTTTTTCAGTAGACCCAAGTTTAAAATGAATTTTAAACATAATCTTTTCTTTCTTTCATGAGAGAGAGCTAGAGAGAGGTACTCTCAAGAATCTGGCTCTCAAGGATACGGTCTTCCTCCCATCCTCACAGCTGTCCAACCACAGGAACATGCGAGCGCGTCCAGTGTGTGTAGCCTCTGTAGGATCCAATCCTGTGGCTCTAGTAAAACAGAGCAGCACACAGCCAACTGCACCCCCATGGCTGGGCCCTACTGTGAATTCTCTAAATGCTGAAACAGTATAAAATAATGGGAGTGTGTCACTGGACTACTTACAATGCCCATTTTGTAAGTGGTTTCTCCTCTTCTCTTCTGATTTCATTTTGGCTTTTATGTACCATTGACACCTTCAAAAAAAGATAAATAGAATCTCACTGTAAGAATTGAGAGACACAGAAATGGGCAATTATCTGTTGATCATAACATGTATGATATCTTCAACTGGGCTGGTGTGACGTTATTCATGTTGGGTAAATTCATTTTATAAGCCATAGTGATGTCAATGACTGGATGGATAAAATAAGTTTTAAAAATTTACAATATAATTTAAAAAGAAAAAGAATATGCTCGATAAGAACCAAAGCCAATGAAAATATATACACAAGAGTTCTTGTCATAAAGATCACTTTTAAAATGTCTTCATAACATAAAAAACTGCATAAAAGGTTTTGATGCATATCAAAATTAGCCCCAGATAGGAATAATACACTAACAAGTAGATTGATCCAAAGCTAGGTATTTTAGACAATATCTTATAATCACTCATACCTATCTCTTTCCTAATATGACTTACAAGAGTTAAGAGTTGGTAGAAAGCATTAAAAGACAAAATGAAAAAAATATTTCCAGTCAGAGTCTCAAAAATTTAGGCAACTGTCTCTAATTTTCAGCACTGAGCAGCATGATGGTTTTCTTTTTACTTAATATTTGAAATTTGGTAGAAGCATGTTCTGTTCTCTCTTGCAATAATTATGCTCCCATGACTTCTCAACATGAATAAATTCATCAACATCCATATGATTTGACAGTTCATCAAATTGCTAATTCCAAATGGTTAAACAGAATTTATCTGTGGTACACAATCCAATCTTTCAATGTGAATTTTGTCTCAAGTCCCAAGGCAAACTGAGTATTTATTCAGAAACATCTTACAATTTTCATAGAGTAATTTCCAATGAATGTTCTCACCAAAATGCTTAAGTGATACTGCAAAATGATTTTTTTTTATCTTATGTAATTGAAATTGTTCCCTCTAGTATGTAGAATGTTAAAGCAGTTTCTGATACCACATAAATTGGCAAACATAGAAATTGAAAGCTGAAAATAATTTAGTACAACTTTTTCTTCATCATTTAATTCTCTTTTTAAGTGGCAATCATATTCTGCCCCAGGAATCTCAGATAAAGATAAAACATTTCAGCCCATCTCTCAAGTTTATTAAGACAAACTTATTTAGCCTACGAAGATGGAAATATTTCCTCTTCAGTTTGTCACATTTATGTATTAAGGCAATATTTTCTGATCTATTATTGCAATGATTTTCCACATATGTATGTACTATTTAAATCACTGTTTATTGGCATATTCTAAAAAAAAAAAAAAAGAAGCAAACTAAGGCCTTGAGTTATCTTCTAAAAGAAATGCATAAATGCAACTTAAAAATTCTATCGGGACCAGCCCTGTAGCACAGAAGGTAAGCCTTCTGCACTGGGAGATGGATCCCTTTGGACTAACCACGGTTCAAATCAGAGTTTGAGAGCTTGAAAACCATACTGGGTGCATATGTGTGTGTATGCCCAAATCCTGGCAGGAAGGAGAGATGGAGGGAAAAGAATTATAATATGGTCATACACCCATGGGGAGTGCTTTCTTTTTCTCTCACTTTCTCCCTCTTTCTGGTGAGTACATCTGCCCTCTAGCTATAAAAACAAAACAAAACAAAACAAAACTGCATCCTCAATGTTGTTATGTACTAAATTACATTACATAATATATCATCCTAATGGTATATTATCATAATAATTTTCACATATGCATATACTCTATAATTTTTAAATGAATCTAAATAAAATATTAATGGCTATGCAGAGTTTTAAAAATGAATAAGGTAAAGCATGTTTATAATTCACTGAACTACTGTCCCTGCAGGTTCTTATTAATTATTTCTGCTTCTTTGAGACATCAGGGGTTCTAGGACAGTTGGCTTACTTTAACTGGGGTTAGCCTGAGTGTGTATTGTTTGGCTGGCATTCTTATTGCAGTTATAAACCACAACATTGGTATTGTGTATACATGTGGGTTCCAGATTGTTAAAAACAGCAATAACCAACAACTCTTCAATTATTCTTCTGTGCTTATTGATATCTAAAAGGATTTTGTTTTCAGGAATGATTTAAAGATCATTGTGATTTGTCACAAAAGTCTCAGCCAAATAGCGAGGACCCAATAAGAAATAATACTTATTCTTTAAATACTTTCACACATTATTTTTATTCACATCTCTATTGTCAGGGCCTGGTTTATGAACACCAACAACAGACTTTAAAAATCAATAATTAAAAAAAATTGCTAAACGATGTGTGCACTTTCCAGAAAGATAGAGACAGAAAGGGAGAGGTAGAAAGCACCCCACAGTGGGGTGTGGTCACACCCAAATCTCTTCTCCTCCATTTCTCCACTTTGTAGGTATCAGAGGCATGCAGCCATGCATGCTCAGAGTGGTTTTCAAGCTGCAGGGGTTGGGATTGAACTATGCCGTCACCCACATGGAATCCGGTTTCCTTTACCACCAGGTCGTGGGGATGGCTCAATGGATTTAACCTTACTAAACCTGTGCAAAAATACAGAGTTAAGGCTCAGATGTGAGAAGCCTTCTCTAGTGAGGGTTCTGTTCTAGGTCTTTTGCTATGTTAAGTTTATCACTACTTTAAATTTTCATCCATTTTACCTTAAAGTAGAGAAATACAAGATTTTCAAAATCAATTAATGTACCTAGTATAGACTGTTTAAATATTAGCAGATAAATATATTTTTAACCAAGTTTATGAAGAACTTTTATATAAATTGTTCTATGGCTTATTTTTAAGAAAAACCCCTTTTGGGGGGCCAGAAGGAGGAATGGTGGTTAAGGCTCTGGACTGCCACATGGCTGACACTCGACTCCCACATGTGGTTTGAGTCTCAGATATGATGGTTTGAAAATCACGCTCAGCATATGTATACACATGCCCAAAATCCCAAGGGAGGATGGGAGAGAAGAGACTGTGGAGTGGCCATCTCACCTGGGGGTGATTTCTCATTTTCTCTCTCTGTCTCTGTTAAGCACATGTGCCCTATGGCCAAAACATTTTAAAAAATCCCTTTTATCATGTAATTTGATTTTTAAAAAACCCAGAAATACCTTAGCAGTACAAATTTAGCATCACAGCTTTCATGTTGCTTTTATCAAGTGTTCGGATGCTTTCCATATTTATGAACCTATTGATACAGAGAACTAAAGATGGTTATTTTGCCACAAGAAGTTCACTGTTGGCACCAGCAGATGGCGAAATGGTTACATCACTGGACTCACAAAGTTGACCATGGTTCAAGTCCAGGACCCAAAGGCTTAAAAGTCATGCCAGACACGTGTGCATGCATGCCCAATTCCAAGTGGAGAATGGAGGAGAAGGGACTGTGGTGTGGCCACCCCCTTTGGAGAGTGATTTCTCACTTTCTGTCTCTCTGTCTCTGTCTTTCTGGAGAGCGCATGTGTCCTGTAGCAAAAATCTCTCTAAAAAAAAAAAGAGAGAAAAGAAAGAAGTTCACTCTCAGACCCGACTCTGCCAGCGCCCCTCTCTATCTCAGGCCAGCCTTGTTACATTTAAAAGTGTTTGAGTATACCAGGTATCAAAAGAGTGGTATTCACAAATGTCGGAAATAATCTGGCGTGCTTCAATTACCTCCCAGTGATTAAGAAGAACAGCGTGAGGATGACAAGCAGAGTGAACCCTCCAACGGCTGCGGTGGCAATCACCAGGATCTGCCCTTGCTCTGCTGCCAGGTCAGAAGCTGAAACACAGATACAACAGTAAAATTCCCCTGGGAGAATTGCACTATCGACATGATTATAACTCAAAATTTAGTATACTCTTGAAAAGGCACTAACATACCCTGTAAACAAACTGAATATATTTGGCCTTTAGTTTAGTGTTTGGCATATAAGATACAAACCCAAAATAAGCAAGCTTTGCCCAAGGGCTAAAGAATTGAGGATATAACCACAACATAAACCTTTCTTCTTTTTTTTTTTTAAACAAAAATATCAGTAATGTAGATGGATTCTTGGTACTTAACATTTTAAGATTTAGTATATGTTGCAAATTAAATTAGCAGATAGACAAATTGATTTTGTTTTATATAACTGCTCATTTTTTAGAATTATTTATTTAATTTTATTTATTCACTCGCTTATTTTAATTTGACGAGAGAGAGAGAGAGAGAGAGAGAGAGAGAGAGAAAGAGAGAGAAAGGAAGTGAGAAAGCAAGTCACCAGGTCCAGGACTATGTGGGGGTGTCTAGCACCTTAACTACCACACCACCTGCTGGTCCCCTATAACTGCTCATTTTATTGCCTTTTTTTAGCCCTTACTATTGTTATTATTTTATTATGCTCATTTTAAAAAAAAACATTCAACACTATACATCATTTGGTTTGTAAAGAGAATTTATCCAGCATGAAATACTTCTTAGACCAGTCCAGTTGAGAATACTATACATGTTATCATCAACAGGTGATAAACCATTTCTGTGTCCCACTAAAATCATGCCTCTCTATTTATTCTCATGTTATCCTTTTCTATACTCTTCCCTTCTCCCCCCACTCCAATTTTATTGCCTTTTAAATGCATTGTAAATAGACCAGGCTTTACAGACTGTTTTTGGTGTCTGTTTCCTCAAAGTGGAAAGAGTATTATATAATAATTCCCTTTAAAAATGATCTCCTTTAAATTGTGTAGAACTTAATTCAAACATTAAAGTTATAAATTTCCACCACCACAGAAAAAGGATATACCTTAATAGATGATTATATATTTTATTAGTAATAATTGAAAAAATTATATTTAAAAGCTTCTTTTTATTAAAATTATGAAAGACCAGCTAACCTATGGTAACAACATATCACTTCTTTCACTGACAAAACAAAATCGTATGGGCTATGTGTTTCACTAACATTCCAGGGAAATTTTAAAGTATAGTAGTTCAATTAATTATTTAGTGCTTATCATTTTCTGTATTACTGAAGCTTTAATCAGATATAATTTTGGATGAAATGGGCAACTGCTTAATAATAGAATAAGGAATCTGAATCACAGAGACATTAAACATTTTGCTCAAGTGCATGTAGAGGATTTGAGCTTATTTTAAAAGAATAATTTATAATTGTATTCATTATTATTATTTTTAATTTGCTTTAGGGCACATGTGGTCACCAGAGACAGTGAGAAGTGAGAAGCGAGCTGTCAAGTCCAGGACTCGAACTGCAGCTGGTCATGTGGGATTCTAGTGCCTTAACAACTATACCACCTGCTGGCCCCAAGCTTCTAGATTTTTAAAAAATTAATTAATTAATTAATTAATTAAAATTTGACCAGATAGGGACAGACTGAGAGAGAGTGAGAGGAAGAGAGAGAGAGAGAGAATGTGAGATTGAGAGGGAGAGTGAGAAAAGCAAGGCACCAGGTCAGGGACTTGAACCACAGTCAGCCATGTGGAAATCCAGCACCCTTAGCCACCATGCCACCTGCTGGTCCCCAAGCTTCTGGATTTTTAAAATGTCTCCTTCCTATAGTATAACTTACAGAATAATTAGATCAACTATAAATATCATAAAATATTAACTCAACCAGCCCCTTTAATATTCCTTAACTTGAATAAAGTTTTTTTTTTTTATTTCGATTACTAGGGGAAATAAATAGTGTCTACTAATCTCATAGTTAGAGGAAGAAGACTGAACCAAATAAAGTATATAATGAAAAAGAAAACTGTATAATTCTCTACCATGGTAATTTATTAAGTTAAGGCTTCTTGATTTCTCCTACTTCCATAAATTTACTTCCATAGGAGTAGATTTTATTTTTTCTGGAAATTAACTATGGTGCCTACTGTGTGCAAATTTATAGCCTCGATAACATCCCCATAAAAATTATCGATCTCTTAAGAAATACTCAACCCTAAATGTTATGGTAAAGTCAGTAAGAAACCAATCATAGTCTTTAAGAGATTTTTAAGGAAATCTAAATGTAAATAAAAAGAAAAGCTGTCCAGTTTCCAGTAAAAGAAATTTATTAAACTTTGGAATTAGATTTTGTCATTGTGATTTAATCAAGATATTTTCAGGCAATCTATTACAGTGTTGATTTTTAGCTCATAATCTGTGTGGAGACAAGTTAAATAGTTGCATCTTATCCAATAAATAATGTACTGACATATTTTATTAGCTCTTCACTGAATTTCTTAATCTTTAAAATAACACCGATATCATGGAAATTAATGTTGTGCTCTAAAATGTCACATGTCTTCATTGAAAATAACAAATTGTAAGAAATAGATATTATAGAAAACAACATTAACTTTTTTGAAGATAGAGAAGATGGCATTTAAAAAGAAAACATTATTTACTTAGGAAACTGTAGCATTTCTAAAATACATAATCTAGTTCTAGAGTTTTGAACCTACAGTATCTATTTTCCCAAGGACTAAGTTAGCCAATAATTTTTTGAGACAATGTATTCAAAGTTCAGATGAAAACTGTTATGGAATTGGGTGACTTTTGAAAATTAGATTACTTTGCTATAAAAATTGTGTTGTTGGACTTGACTTAAATAATTAGGTTGTAAACTTCCAGTTTTATTAATATGTCTCTTTTTGCACACTTGTGATTACATATTTATAAACTTTGCTCCAATTAAAATTTTAATTGCATAGCAGAATATTAAGTTGCAACACTGTGAAAAATGTGGATTCCTACATAATTTTTTCTTAAATTTCTGCACCAGGGATCCTAAGCACTCCTCTGTAGAGAATAAAATGTGTAAATATACAAGTCACTTACAAATAAAAGTGTTCAATGAGACATTGTTATATGGGAGTAAAATGTTATAAATGATAAGGAAAATATCATCTGCATCCACAGAAACACTCAATATTTAATGACAAACTCTGTGCCTAACACTATGTTGAGAACTTTGTCAAATTTATCTTCACAATGGTCTTGCTAGGTAGATACTGCTAGCATTCCTAGTTTTGGTGGTTATATTACTTGCCTGAGGGCACACATCTTGCACAGAGGAAATCTGGCAATGCAACTCTGATTTGCCTGCCTTCAAGCCAAAGCGATTGTCTCTATTTTAAACCACAATTTTCATTAAGAGGAAAGCTGGCTAGATCCAGCTTTTTTGATTGTCCTAGAACACTTGATCTTGGATTCCTATCTGTGAAATACGAATGTTGAACTAAAGATTCTTGTCACAATCTTTCAGAGCAATTTTATTATACTATTGTGTTATCATTAAGCTTATACTCAAGTATTGGGGGAAAAAAGATCTGCCATATGGAAATGAAAAGAACGGTCAGGACTTGTGCCATAGTTCTTGCTCCTGACTGGAATAATTTCTGCCTTTACTCATAGTAGTGCTGGTTGATCACAGAGCTGACTTCATCTCAGAATAAACGCTGAAGCCCTTCACTTGTTAACAAGGTTTCTCCAAATGGCTCTAGCATATGTCTCCATATTTGTCTGTTCTCTAACCACACCATACTGAATTTCTTTTAGTTCCTTGAATGAGCCAAACTCTTTCTCTAATGGTCAATTCCCCGTCCCTCTTCCTTCAGGAATATCACATCATTTGGGCAATTTTTGTTTTAGATTTCATTAGATTCCCATATAGATGTTTTCACAGACCTTAAACTGCTTCTACTAATAAAACTATAATGTTTTGGGCCATCAGGTGAGGTGGAGGTTAAGGTGCTGGATCTCACATGGCTAGCTATACGGTTTGAGTCCTGGATCTGATAGCTTGAAAATTTAATCAGGGTTGTGTGCATGCCCCAAATCCCAAGAGGAGACTGGAGGAGAAGGGACTGCAGCGTGACTGCCTCCCTAGGGGGTGATTTCTCACATTCTCTCTCACTTTCTTTCTTTCTCATGTGTGCATGCACCCTATGGCAACAAGTACAAAACAACAAACAAAACTACAATGTTTTATTAAAAGTACTTTTGTTTTGGTAATTGTCTTTTCGATTGGACTATAAATTGCACGAGGGCAGCAGCTTTATTTACTATAGTATGCACATTGGGCTGAATGTTGTCATCCTCACGTACCCTCCAACCCCTGGAAAACGTGTAAGGTTCTCCACCCTCCTGGATTAGCCAGGTGGTTTGAATCCCCTTACAAGGGACAAAAGGGAAGACAAAAAGACCTTGTAAAGACAGATGCAGATATTAAATTATGCAGCTACAAGCCCAAGAATGTTCGGAAGTACCTGAAACTGGGAGAAACCAGGAAGAGTCTCATTTAGAGCCTTTAGAAGAAGCATACTCTGGGCTTGCAGAGCTGTGATCTGTTGTTTTAAGCCACCTCGTTTGAAGTGATTATTAGAACAGCCATGAGAAACAAATACAGTATCCAATCAGCTGGTCTTTAGTAGCTCAATAAATGTTTCTTTGGGTGAATAAATAAAACAATTATAGATGATTCTGGTCAGAATAAGTTAGATTAACCTCAAGATATTCCACATCCCCATACTCCTCTTGATATGTGAAGATTTCTCCTGAACATAGCTACACAGTGTATGTCAAGAGAGTGTACTCAACACTAATTTAGTCAAAATAATCCAATTATTCTTTTTGTTTAGTGACAGGGTTTCCTAGAAGGCAAGAAATACTAGAAAATTTAAACTTCTACCTTTTAGCACAGTTATTGAGTAGATGTTTGGTAAATGTGAATCTAAGGTTAAGAACATATTAGTCCATTCAACAAACATCTGTTGAACAATCCTAACAGGTCAAA